CTTTTCCATGTTGATAAGAGCATTCAAATGAGAAAGGGACAAAAAGAAATCAAGGCACATTTAGAATAGATAAAAATGTTTGCAATTAATCGCAATTAAATATTTGAATCGTTTGACAGCACTAATAATAATTAATTATTACAGCTTCATCTGTAGCTTTCTTTTTTAAACAAGGGCTGTCTGCTTGGAAACCAGATGAATCTGCGAGCTCAGTATCCTTAAATATAACCACCAACACACAATATTGTTCATTGTGCGTACGTCATGGGACACAAAACTCAGGAGTAACGTGAGCACATAAAGCAGAGAGTTTTAAATTTCCTTGAAGGTTCGTTTGGCTGTGATCAGGGAGGATCCTATCTAAAGGGGTAAGACGCTGAATGTCCAATGAGTAATAAGAGCCCAGTGTCTTTAATACTTTAATAACTGTCACATTTTGTTCAGTTCTTTTGATTTTATAATTAAATGTAACAACATTTGATCAAAACCAAGATACAAAGTTTTTCAATTAAGGTGAATACGGGGAGAACCTTGGTAAATTTTTTTTAACTAACGCAGCAGCTGTATGTATGAAATGTACCACACATCTGCTATAAAGTTACTGGTATCACCAACTCAGTAACATAACAGACCTTTGTAACACGTGTTGTGTCATGTGACTTTGTATTGGCAGTAACACTAGTGTCCACTACAAACATTGCGTGTTTTTGCATTATTTATCTTTTCCTACCGAATCTGTGATTTTACACGGATTTTATTTTGTTCCTTTCAGTTTATTTATCCTGTGAACTCCACAATAATATAGAAAACAAACATTTTAAACTCTGAGGATTGTTAGTTTTTTGTTTCAGCCATTGTGTTTCACAGAAATTTCTTCTTTGTCGTGTTTTCTTTCATACCAGTCCCTGACGCTGCTGGAGTATCTGTTGAAGACCGGTGACGATCGTGTGCTTCTGAAAATGAAAGACAACATCTATATCGTCAAAGCCCTCACAGAGTATCGCTTTGTAGAAAAGGATGGCAAAGATCAGGTGATACACGCTTCCTGATAAGCATGCAACCTTTTAGTATCCATTAAATGTTGTTATGCATTAAGGTTATCCATTAGTGGCACTATAACATCCATATCATCATGCTCACTTAGGAGGCCGGGTGCACTAAAGAATTAAAGAATGACAATCAATTCAGTCTATGTTTGCTGTCTCAAAACAATGTAAGAACGCCTTGATTCAGATAATAATAATATAATGTAAGCATGTCTGTCCCAGGGAGGAAATGTAAGAGAGAAGGCCAAGGTTGTCCTTGTTCTTATGGAGGACGATGATAAACTAAAAGAGGAGAGAGACTTTGCCGTTAAGACCAGAGAGAAGACGTCAAAAGGTGCCGCTGGTAAGCACATCTGTCCTCAAGTATCACTGCTTAGATATCAATCGTTTCCACTGTTTTAGCATTATTCTCTTTGTCTATCACACAGATCTCATACAGTCTCTTTTTCCTTCTAACCAGCCTCATCCACGGACCCCATCAAGGATCCCAACTACAAACCATGCTACGTCGCTGGGACGTCGGGGCTTCCATCCTTAGACAACATACCCTCAGTGGCAGACTTGACTGCTTCCTTCGCTGCTCGCAAAGAGGAGCGTCTTAGACAGGAAGCTGAGAAGAAAGAAGCAGAGAGGAGGGTAAGCATACAGCAAGAAGTGCTTGGCTACAGCAAGTGGACACCAACGCTACACTTTTGAGTGCCAAATCCTGTAGGTCAGATACGAATTGCCTTGATTACTCGACTTAACTGAATCAGTTTGATCTCGTGTAATGGGGAGAATTAAGTCACGCCACTATTCAAAGCAGTAAGTAAGTGTTTGTGTTTACTTTTCTAATTATGCCATTGTAAATATCGTAGGCCAAGATGACTGAAGAGGAGCTGCAATGGGAGGATGCGGGCAAAGGCAATGACGCTAAAGGTGCTTGGGGAGGGGAGAAACCAGCGGAGGAAGAGGAGGTGACACAAGCTGCATGGGAAGAACCTAAAGAGGCCACCGATCCGTGGGGCACACCCGCAAAACCTGACACCACTGAGACCCCAGCTAGCAGTGATCCTTGGGGCGCTCCAGCTAAACCCGATGAAGATCCATTTGCAGCACCAAAAACCGCAGAAGATCCGTTTTCTGCGCCAAAGAATGGAGAAGATCCCTTTGCAGCACCAAAAGATGAACCCGATCCATTCAGTGCATCAAAAGATGACCCTTTCAACGCACCGAAAGACAAGAAGGATCC